GCGTATGTCATCCACTGCTGGATGAAGGCCTTCCCAAACTGTGGCACATCTCTCATGTTAATACGGATTTAAACCATCCTAACAAATAGATCCTGCGCACAAGCTGTTTTCATTACTCCAAACGTATTAGACTGGATACAAAACATGTAATGTGATGTCCATTTGTTTCTGGGTATTACACGCTGTCGTGCTGATACAAAAGTGCAGTGTTCAATTATATAGGCAAGCAGTGCATTTAAATGGTCTAACTATAGTTGCCGCAATTGTGTAGCAATTACCGCTCGAGACAATTTCATGAAAAAGTTACTTTTAGAGCATATAATCAGTTGAAATATTCGTGATTAATGTGAGCACTTAGATAAATGCGTTTTGTTAAGTTTTGCTAATGGAAAACCGCCCAGCATCGGCTCTGTGCTAAAAAAAAAAAACCTTTCCATTTGAAAGTATAAGCAGATATATCATTCATTTAGATTGATTCCTTGCACGTGTTTGTGTGGATGCCATGTAATTGGCACAAGTTTGCATCTTTCGCGCACCATATGCACTTCGCCTACGGATGTCATTGCTCGTCTTCGCGAGTGATTATTTGGGCGGGGGGGATGATTAATACAACGTGCACAATATAAAGCCCGGTTAATGTAATCTCTTCCATCTACACACACACACGCACGCCGACGCACTGCGTGCACGGTGGCTGGGTGCACCTGCCACAGAGGAGAGGGCACAGCGTCACATATGAGCAGCAGCCAGTCGTGCCTAAAGGTGGCTGAAGGTACAACGCATGCGTTGCGCGTCGGGGTCCCTCGCCAATCGCCCCATGATCATCATACTCATCCGTGATCAATCCGCTGCTGGATGAAGGTTTCCCCAACCATTATCATTTCTCACGGCGCCGTAATGCAATAATCCACCAAGCACCGACACATGAGCCGATTTCATAGTTTCGTTCACTCGGCGGATGTTCTGTCGTGGACACCGATTCTTTCTTGGCTGCCACTCCATCATTATGTTTTAACAAAGTAAATAAGCAGACCACGTCTGCTAATTCCTAATACAAAATATTATTGAGTCACATGAGTAAATGAATTCGGTGTCTCATTGGCAATGTTTCGACTAGCTCGCACAAACCCCGGTGAACTGTCAGATGTTTACAGGAAAGGATCCGCTGTTATATATAGATAGTAGTTGGATTGTTCTTGATCAGTCTGGCATCATTCCTTCTCAGCAACGTGTCCTGCCGAAAGCTACGTTGCTTAACAGTTTGAATGTTGTCATGAACCTGTGTATGTTCTCTCATTCATGTATTCCTCCTAACGTGTCTAAATGCAATTTTAAGCATGCACTTGTACACACTGCTTTGTCCACTTTTGAATTGATGTTCCATGCAATAGTTAATTTCAAATTAGTAATTTAAAAAATGTACACTTAAAAACATAACCCACCTCCACCACAGCTCTGCTCTTTCACAATTTCACAATAATATATGACATTGGAAGCAATGTTACCATCGGCCTACAGCCTATGTGTTGAAGCAAACATAGCTTACTGCAGTCAAAAATGGCAATGGACAAGGCGTTGTTTGATGTTTTAATTACGTAAATTGCATCTACAGCTTTTCCCAGCACAACAAAAATACTCCATCCCAGCGCATTTTGTGAAATGAGATATTTGCTTGAAATATGAATAAAGCCACCAATCGAATGCGTAATGTTTTTGAAGAAATGTGTTTTAAGAAGCCAAATAGACGCACGCAGCTGTAAAGGGGCGGTCGCTTTGATTTTAGAATTTAAACTTTACTTCATTTATTTTAGATGTAAATAACCCATAATAGCATGAAGAAACGTCATTTGTAAATTTACTTGCTTGCGTTAATGTTGGGCTTTATAGAATATGAAAGGAATCCAAAACAGTTTCTGAATATGGTTACAATTTAAAAAATGCAAAAGTCCACCACCTTTAATGGCAATAAAGTTATTGAGAAATCCATAACATATTTTTTTTTACTTTTGCGTCCATCCCTTCGGAGGGTTCCCTGTTAATGCATTTCTCGGAGTGTAAAAACATTACTGCACTTACAAAGTCTGCGCTCCAAGTGTGGACTCGTAGCAATTAACACAGCACTCTTCTTTTTTTACACAACAAAAATAATCAACGCATTCGGCAATAACACTGCCCTCAATCGAACACGTACAACGTTTTGGCCAAAAGCCATTCTTCATAACAGACAGATGGAAGGGCCATTGCCTAAAACGATGCCTTGTTTCTTTCTAAGGTAGTGTGTGCCTAGTTTGATTTTGTTAGTTGTGCTTGTGCACCCCACTGCCAATGCAGTCTCGAACAAAAACACAGAAGTATGTTTTTCTTCCACCGCCGTCAGGTTTGCTAAGGCGTTACCGGGCTGTACCGTGCGTTGCTCGGCACGATGTCCCACGTCGCGCTGCGTGAGCTGCTGAGAGCTTGCTTCAGCAATAATAGCTCGGTTCGACGGTGCTCGGAACACCAACACCACGCTTTTTTGAACTCGTAGGTAATTAAACAAGAGACAGCCTTGGTTTGCGACGTTGTTTTCCCTTCCTTTTAAAACGACGCCGAGTTGATCTGTGGACGAGGTGAGAGTCACGTACGCAGGCGAGCGGTCGGTGGGTGGCGATCGTGTGACAAAAATCAAGAGTCATCGCCAATGTTGGCTCACTGACCCTGCAAACCCACGGACGCTCTCCCCGCGGCGTCTGTTGCTTCACAAATGAATCGCATTGCACAGAACATAGACTCGCCCGAGTCACAAAAGGGGGTCTCTCTTCGAGGGGGGAGGAAATTGTTATGTTAAACAGAGCGGGGTGGGTGGGATGGGGTGACATAATGCAAAATCGTGCTTATGTACTACGACACGCTTTTCAGCATGCCTTGTATTCGGACGTATTGAATTACCGGTGTGGGAGCCGACTGCCAGCTAAAGCTGAGAGCAAAACAGGTTTGTGCATTTTACTCTCACGTTGCTTTCTCTCCCGAGTTGTTCGGCAACCCCCGCGTTAGTCACCTTCACTAACGTCGACGCGACGTTGTACAACTGGACTGGCAGTTGGGCTTCGTAGTTTGATGATGTTGTACGAACGTCATTGTCCCCACCGCCGGGTGCGGACGGAGGACACGGAACGCACCGACGGAACGGGATCGGACAAGAGACGCGTTCGAACGTCATCAGTTGAGAAGGCGTCCCCGAGTGTGTGAAGACTGCCAACAACACCCCGGCCACCACGGCAGCCGTCTGCGTGGAGTTGCCTGGTGGCTGCTGGCAAGTTGCATTCTCCGCCGTTGTGAACTCTCGTAACCACCGCTCGATCTGCCCACATCGTGGTTTTGTTTCGGTTACTCGTCGACTACATCTTGACGTTGCAGCTTTCGTGACTGCAGGGATTCAAAGAAGCATCTACACGTGACTTTACCGAAAGACCCAAAGAATACTCGTTGTCCTATTCCAGCGCCTCGAGGTGACTAAATGTATACTCTTAGGTTTTTTCGGTAAAGTCACGTAGGTAATTTTTTTTTGTAATAATAATGAAAAATAACTAAATTAAATCCCGACGTTTCAGAGGCAACACAAGTCTCCGTCTTCAGGTGGGACCGTCACAGCTAAATGTACTCTTGATACAGTAAATTTAGCTGTGACGGTCCCACCTGAAAACGGAGACTTGTGTTGCCTCGAAACGTCGTGATTTAATTTAGTTATTTTTATTTTTTTATTAATTTTATTTATATTTTTTACCTACGTGACTTTACCGAAAAAACCTAAGAGTATGAATCCTTGCAGTCACGAAAGCTTCAAATCTAAAATGTGACTAAATGTCTTTACGCGCTACGTAAAATCAAACCATTGTTGCACACGCTCACCTTGCAACCACTTTTCGCGGAAGAAGTCCAGCGTACGTGCGTATTACACGTGTGCACGTTTTGTTTTAAACATAACATGAATAATTTGTGATGGTTTGTTTACGTACATCAACTGCTGGATGAAACCTAGACCCAAGCTGGTCAGCGTGCGTCGAAGGTTGTGCCTAGAACTGGCTTAGTTATCACTCGCCACTGATGTTAGCCGTGGTCAGGAATCGGTTGAAGAACTCAGGTTTGCCGGACTAATAGCGACAGCGCGCTAACCACTGTCCCACCACTCCACCTCTCCTATAATGTACAATACAGTATAACATCTGACTAAAGGCCGAAACTTACTTTGACCCCCCCTGGAAGCAAACAGCACACACGTTAAACGGGTTAAGTCCGCTTAAAAGTTTAAGCGCGGAATACGCAATTGGATTATGCGTATCGCGAACATCGCTCCCCTTAAAATATTTTCACGCAAAACGCTCTCGCGTCGTGAGTGGGTCTACAAGTTGCACTCGCACACTAACAAATACCGCATGCGCTGGATAAACGAGCGGCGTTCATCGTACGCGGGCGTTGTGCTGTTGAGCAACGCTTTTTTGCGTAAATGCGACTCTCGTTGCGCGCAAACACACGAACGCGTGTACCCGTCAACAGTCAGCCCATGTCACTCGGCACCAGTGTCTTTGCAAACAATACGAGTTAATTATAAAGTGCAGCGCTTAAAACACGAGCGCGTCAATTGTCGCGCATTGCGCGCGCGGATATCCGCGCTTTGTCTCCAAGGGCCGAGGAATGGTTGGGTGGTTGACTCCAGAGGATTGGTGGTCGATGGACGACGTCGTTCAGCACGTACGAGCGGCTCACCCTCCACACCCCCCCCCCCTCGTGTGCTCTCGTTTTGAGCAGAAAGCTCGGAGGGAAGACACGCACAGATTCGATGGTGGGAGAGGAGTGGGGGGCAGATACGTGCCCGTAACGACTGAAGGGGTTACTTTGGTTTACTGGGAAATAGGGGAAGAGGAGAGGGAGGTGGAGGGCGGAAGGGGGAGGACGGTGGGGGGAGGACGGTGGGGAGAGGACGGTGGGGGGAGGACGGTGGGAGGAGGACGGTGGGGGGAGGAGGAGGTTGTGGTGGGTGGGGGGGTCTGGGAAAGAGTGGCTGAGAATGGAGATGTGGGAAGGGCCTTCCGGCCCCAGTGTTTTAAAATGTGCTTGTGGTCGTGCGAGCGCACACAGCAGCGGTCCGTGGGTACGCGAGCGACGCGAGTCGGAGCTGCGCTGCAGGGGAGCAAGAGGAGGAGGCAGGCGACGGGAGGAGGTGACAGGGGGGAGAGGCGACGCAGCCCATTTTCTCACGCCTCAAGTTCCAGGCACCTGGCGAGCGCAACGCCCTTCCCTTGTGTCTATTTGGACAGCGGCTTGACGGACACCACGACGACTGCACAAACAAGTGCCGAACGCGCCTCGCGATCCGAGAGGTTTTTTTTTCATTTATCGGCAGCCTTTCGTGCGTTTCGAATGGAGTTATGAACTCGTTTCGTCACGGTAGTAGCTGCATCGGCAGAGAACTGTCGCTATGGTTCGACACCGGACACGTGCAACGAGTTCAAGTTGATGTGACGAGCAGCATGTGGTGACGTGTCGGCGGTGTGTGTAGGGCAGCAACATCGGCTGCTTCTCGAGCGCATTCATCACGCACTTGCTTTGCCCCATGAGTGAAACTCCAACAAGCGCTGCGACTCCGCGCCCTGAACAACCAAGATGCAGAACATGAGCGACCCGGCGGCTGCGAGGTCAACTCTGCTCAGCCCGTACGCCGCCTTCAACTTCACCCTCGCCGAGCCCGAGAACGTCACCGGCGGCACAAACTCGTTGAACGGCACCGACGAGAAGTTGGGCTGGGAGTACTCGGTGCTGGCGGGGCTCGGCTTGTCGAGCCTCGTGCTCATCCTCGTGTTCGCCACGGTGTTCGGCAACTGCCTGGTCATCATCGCCGTCCTCACGCGACCTTCGCTCAAGGCTCCCCAAAACCTCTTCCTCGTGTCGCTGGCCACGGCCGACATCCTGGTGGCGACTCTCGTCATCCCGTTCTCGCTCTTCAACGAGCTCATGGGCTACTGGTACTTCGGGCGCGTGTGGTGCGAGATCTACCTGGCGCTCGACGTCCTCTTCTGCACGTCGTCCATCGTGCACCTGTGCGCCATCAGCCTCGACCGCTACTGGTCCGTGTCGCAGGCGGTCGAGTACAACATCAAGCGCACGCCGCGCAGGATGAAGCGCATCATCGTCATCGTGTGGTTCATCGCCATCGCGATCTCTCTGCCGCCGCTCATCTCCATGAACCAGAAGAACCGACAGCAGCAGGAGGAGGTGGGTCGGCCCAACTGCGAGCTCAACACGAACACCTGGTACATCCTCGGCTCGTGCATCGGATCGTTCTTCGCGCCCTGCCTCATCATGGTGCTGGTGTACGCGCGCATCTACCACCTCGTCAAGTGGAGGGCCGCAAAGCTGCGGCGAGACAAGGAGGCGCCCATCACGTCGTGTCGGCCGATGGAGTCCATCAGGATGAGCGAGGTGAACGGCAACGGAGGCGGCGGCGGCGGCGAGGGGAACGGAAACGGAGAAAAGAACTGCAACGGCGCCGGAAACAAGTCTCGCCATCATCATCATCCTCCTCATCATCAGCATCCTCCTTCTCATCATCATCCCGAGGTGGACGTAGAGGAGACGTCGGTGTCTTCTGACAAGAACGAGCGGAGGAGGGACGACGCCTCGGCGGGCGCAAAGGCGAGCAGGAAGCCGTGCTCGCCCACCAAGGACGACTACAACCCCGAGATGGAGATCCTGGAGAGGCAGAACAAAGCGCGCGAGCGCAGGAAGATAGCGCAGGCGAGGGAGCGGCGCTTCACCTTTGTGCTGTCCGTGATGATCGGCGTCTTCGTCATCTGCTGGTTTCCCTTCTTCTTCACGTACAGCCTCTCCGCGATCTGCAGCCCCGAGTTCTGCGTCATCCCCGAGACCCTCTTCAAGTTTTTCTTCTGGTTCGGCTACTGCAACAGCTGCCTCAACCCCGTCATCTACACGGTTTTCAACAGGGACTTTCGGCGTGCCTTCAAGAAGATCCTGTGCATGCAATTCAACACGTCCTTTTAGGCGGACGCAAAAAAACAACGAACTCTCGTGACTCCGCGTGTATATTTCTCACGAACAATAAATTGCAATCGAGGCAACATGCGATCGGCTTGATTTGAAAATGGACAAAATTAATGGTGAGTTGTGTATTTTATGAGTCTGGAACGCATCGTGGGCGTTTAATTTGTGCTTCAGCGGCCGTACAGGGAGTTGTTACACCACGAGTATGGAAGGGAAGTGGGGAGAGAGAAAAAAGTTGAAATCGATTTGCCAGACACGCCTTCATTGTCAGTCGGAGGGAATGTTCTAGATTTGAAGCTTTCGTGACTGCAATGATTCATACTCGTAGGTGTTTTCGGTAAAGTCACGTGACTTTACCCTAAAAGACTTTACTTTAAAGTCACGTGACTTTACCGAAAAACACCTAAGAGGAGGAAAGGTTGACGAGCTGAAAATGCGGACTCGTCGTTTTCCTTTTGAGAACCTATAGCTACATGCACACATGCACACGTACGTTCATACGCGGGCACACAGGGTTGGTTATTCACAAGTCAGGAAACAATCGGACCCAGCATCCACTGCAACGAATGTCTGCTCACATTAAGCACACGACTGCGGTGGTTGGGTGAATTGCGCTTTTGAAAGGTTGAGGCCAGGAATATTGTGTCGACAAGACGTCAGCTGCTGCTATTCTTGGACATGATGCTGCGGTGATGTCCTTGAGCTCCGCAATTGTCGAGGAAAGTTTTCCGAAGCACAGATGCGCTCCACGTAATAGGAAACAATGCAGGGCAGTCCGAATCCTGAGACCCTGGGAAACGGGGTGGGGGCTAGCGATTGCATTGAGTGCTTGCTATTTTTTGTCTCTGATCTCTCATCACCCAAGTGTAATTCCCGTGGAATTGTTCTTCAAGCCAGCAACCAACTCACCTCTCCAAAGCGTCTCCTGTTCCCATTATTCCTGGCTTTGAATGCACAAATACAACCGTATCTTTTTTTTTTTATCTGGCGTCACTAACCGTGTTTTTATCTTGTTTTGTGTTGAGAAACGCGACGCTGGCTTTACGTTTCAAAATCTTGGCTCTGTGGCTCGGTATATTTGTATGCTTTGCGGTGTGATTAAATCGATATATCAACATTTTTTCTCGACGTGCTTAGCTTGAGTCAAGAATCAATGTCCATAATTGAACCGCCGGCGAGCGAGTGACGCACTCCCTTGTTTTGTTAACATTTTATGTTACACTATTTGCCCATCATTCGGGAATGTTCAATCGAGCAATGCGTGGTGATGTAATCAAATGGCCACATTATATCATCACCGCTTTAATATGTGGAGTTGTTGCATTGTTCTGATGTTTGTAACGTGGAGTTAGCAATTTGCTATCCTTTGTAGCACATACAGATGTGTGATTAAATAAGTTATTTCATTAACTGTTATTGTGGTGAGATGACCGACATTCAGAAACTAGTTATTTTTTTAGCTCCCTGTTTTTTTTATTCAAACCATTATTGTGCCAAACAATCACATTGTTTCAAATGCTTACTTTTAAACGGCAAACAAAATGTGTGTTTTTTATTTATTGCTTGAATATTTGTTCGTGTAATTTATTTAGTACAAAAAAAATCCACATCTAGGATTTTACAATCATACTATTGTATTTAAATTTATTTTAACGGATTATAAAGTTGTTCCTCTTTTAGCGATTTCTTAATTGATCTGTAACTTTGGTGTCGCCGTGACATTCTAGATATGTGTTCTACCCATCCAGCTGAACTTCAGCCAAGAGGGTGGAGTGTTGCCATAGAAGCGGTGTTGTTATCTATAGAGCACTGTGTGACTTCTTGGCTCCAGTGGCGGGTCCACCATAACATTGTGGGGACGTGGGGTGGGTCCATTCTAATCGCAAAAACCTCACCCCAGACAGAATATACGCATACATGGTAGGCGGCTTGGGGGAGGGCTTCATCCAGCAGTGGATTGACCATGGCTGATGATGGTGACAGATACAACACGTCCAGCCAGCCCGGTTGTCATTCCACTGCTGGATAAAGCCCTCCTCCACATCATGCGTGTCATGTGGGTTAGTTTGCCATAGTTTGTCACGCTGGTCAGTGCGAGTTGGTTGAAGGCGGGGAGAATCGATATGGGAGCATATAAGTAGAATACAACAATTGATGTGTCTGCACTGCCCAGAACGTAACCGAAGCCTCCTCTCAGAACCCAAGCGTGCATGGTGATCACTCGTCCAGGAACTAACCAAGCTCAAACCTTGATCTGAAGAGGTCGTAATACGCAGGGTGATTTTCTTATAAGCTATTCTTGATTGCAGTGCAGTGTAATATTATTTATATACCCAGGAAAGCCTCAATGAGTCTGTAAGATGTTTTTTTTCATGAGGGTCATGCTGCTTGTTCTGTTTTACACCTTTTTGGGAGTGTTAGAACATTGAAAGTGCGTAGAAAATAAAGCATACATTTGAGAGGGTAAAGCAAACGATCGACTCGGATATCCCAAACGTACACATGTAATCAAGGCTTATGTTCCCGCTGAGTGTTTTCCGGGTCGCTGGTAGACTGGAGCAGGTGCAGAACTAGTAACCCAGGCCATCGCGAGACGTATCCTGGACATGGTATGCCGGGTGCATACACGTTTTCTGCGCCGCAGACTTGGACATATATTAAGGCATTAAACCTCGTGTACGATCATGTTCGTACGTCTCTAGAGCAGTCTGCAAGCACGGGAGGCCTCCGAGCAGCTGGGGTTCCCACTCGAGAGAGGAAGAGAAAAACAAGTATAACCCGTAAAAACAAAAATTTTCACTATAAATCCTTTATATGCGTGGCGGCTAGAGTCCTCTCGTCCTCTGGCTTGAGATGGCTGCCACCTATGGGTCAGATGATTGTATGACAGCATTAAGCAATTGGTAATTAAATATAATATTTTTGTCCTAAAAAGTGTAAAATTTTGGAAAAAAAATTTCACGAACATTAATTGTCACGCACAACGAGTCTGTGTGGAAAATGTCAGCTCGATTGGATCACGGGAAGTGGGTTAAAAAACGACCGAAATATTTGCACGGTCCTAAGCAAGCAAGCAAGCGAACTTAATATAAAGGATTTAAAAAACGTATTCGTCCTGAGGCCAGAGCAAGATACGAGTACAACCACCACCTAGGGTAGCAAAATATAAGTCGTACCGATGTATTGTATTTACATGGCCGATAAGAGTAAACGATTGATAACCCTACTCATTTTAAATGGTTATCCGACAATTCACTGCTATTTAATCATATAATACATTGGATCCACTCAAGTTATGCCACCGCAGGTGAAACGGCCTGGTGAAATATCTGTCCTGGGCTCATGGGCTATTATGCGTGGGATATGGTGTTGGTCGGCAAACAAAAAATCCTTGCCACGTGCGTTTTATTGGTCGTCCACTAAACGTTGGGTTTATGAAGAGTGCATTTGTGGCCATGAATCACTCTCGAGGAATTGGAGGGACCGGGAAATGAAACTGCATAATGCGCTCCATACAATGCATCTGGCGGAATTCAATTTGCTCCTCTTATTTTCTCATCTTTGCTGCTATGGATGTTACATCAGCCAGCGTGCATGCATTCGTTCTCTCACTGTGCTCTGCGTATATGAGAGTAGTGCTACGACTGCCTGTCTCCTGAGAGAAGGATGAATCTTGTTTTACATTTTACTTTTGCACTCTCTATTGTATGAATAATTGCCCGTCCCCCTTTGCCTCTTCAATCACCGATTAAGTACCTGGAATATGCGAGGACTTTGCTCTGGGAACAGTGGCTCGCATCGTTTTGTTTGTGAGTTTTCGTTCAAGAGGCATCGAAGAAGGCATAGAGGCACGCCCATGCCGAAAGGGGCGCAAAGAAGAAGTCTTGCCCTCGTTGCCAGAATTTTAAAACGGCCGATGTACACCAGACACTTTTTAAAATATATATTCAAACAAATCTAATGGCTAGGTGGATTGTTTACAGGATCACGATAGATGGCAGCGGCTTGGAGAGGCCATCATCCAGCAGTGAATTGGCAATGGCTGTTGATTATTACGACGTAATCTTATTTTAGAATTGTCTTTCTTGACACTCCACGGGTGTGAGTGTGAAAGTGCATTCTGTTTCCCAAAATTAGTAACTTTGAATAACAATTCCGCCCCCCCCCCCCCTCTGGATTGATCATCTGAGGGCACCGCTGCATAGAAGTATAGACAAATAACTAGTAGCTTAAGAGTCTGTTTTCATTTTACGTTAGGGCTTGACATCAGAATGCAGTTACCTGCTGGGGCAACTTTGGGTAAGCTTTCAATACCTGGATGGAGAATGACTGAACGCGCCCCACTAATCAAATTATCTTGCTGTCTAAATATTTACAGTCTAATTTTCATTTGGGAAGGGTGTTGTGGAGACACGAGAGACAGGAGGATATTTTCAATAAGTGTCCACAAGTCTCAAACAGGACCGCAGTAAAATACAATTAATCAAAACGTCACAAATTTAGAGAATGTCTGGGTCGTTTTATTTGCAAAGTATCCTATCCATGTTTATTTTTTTAGAAAACCCTTAAAACCAAAATAGGCGTCCAAGTATTATGTAAAGTACAACTGAGGAGACTTGAAGTTCAGTGTTGAATGATGTGTGGGAAAAATAGCCATTACTCTCGTGCCAGAAGTGTCAACAGCCATGAATTAGGTTGGGAAAATATGGAGTTGTCTGGGTGTGTCCTCAGAGGCAACAAATTGTGAAAAAAATCCGCATTCCAAATGTTTGGGACTTGCACCCCAAGTAAACGATTGTTTACTTTGAAAATTACATTTTTCCCAGTGTGTTCTTGGTGTTCCACTTCCGCGTTCAATTGCACCATCATTGTTAGGGCCCTCCATGGCAGTTGTCACCCACAATGTAAAGCACACGGTGTATGTTAAAAAAAAAAAAGACCTGTGCCTTGTGAATAGAGATTGAATATATTTGTTGTTGGCAAATAAATAAACATTGCAGATGAAAGCACCAGCATGCGGAGTCTTGATTGTCCAATTTATATTTTCTGTACAGTTTGAATTTGTTTTCATATCACGACTGTAGCTCATTTTTAATTTTCACGTAGAATTACAGGCCCTTCGTTAATCTACCGCTGTCGTTTGTGGACATTTGCTTGACCATTCTTCACCATGCAAGTGAGTGCAGGTTGAAGGTGGACTATCCAGAGCTGGTTCTGATATCACTCGTCTCTGTTGTTGGGAATATAACGCAGGTCACGAGATACGCAAGAGTCGTCTGCTCAGCGTTTCATTTAGATGGCAGGTAATATTAACTTATTGACATATTGTTAATTGGTTTCTTACCCTTCTATCTGGCAACAAAACTGACACCTTTTTTACAAGGAGTCATGTTTGCATAGACCACAATACCTGCAGTCATAATACAAACAAAAGACATAACTCTGATAATGTCCACTGTCCTTGAAGTTGATTGGTCCACACCCGAGACAGCTTTCCTTAGAGCCTAGTCTCACATGGGTTGCGGTCTATGCAAACATGACTCCTTGTAAAAAGGTGTCAGTTTTGTTGCCAGATAGAAGGGTAAAAAAAAATATCATATTTTATTGACATGTTGCTTTTGATTATCAAGTTCACTTTTACAAAATTAATCCAACCTGCATTGGTTCGCAATCTTTATTTCATAACTTTTGATTCACGATTTTCCTTCAGTAATTGCCGTATGCATGTGCAGTATGCATACCTTTTCCAGTAGTTCCTTCCAACATATTTCTTTGTTTGTTAACAAACTTAATGTAGACGACTTGTTTTGCTCACATTTATCTTGAGCCTTAATTTGCAGCCTTGTTAAAATTGAGTTCTTCAAACGTTTCTCGTATTTTATTTCCATTATAATGACATCATCAGCAAATGTGAGCATTTTCTACCACGAATATTTGTTTCTTTTGGGGGTTAAATCGTGTCGGTATAATGTCAATTTTGATGGTATACAACTGACTTGCCTGTGTGATGTCGAACCCATAGGACCCATATGACCCATAGGACACCAGTTATGAATACAAATCTGAGAGAGTTAATATTTTTCCTCCATTGATGTTTATGTCTTTATTTCCATAATCCAATTTTATGAAAATATATATTGAAGTCACTGTGAATAAAATAGCCTTGGTGAGAACGCATCTCCTTGTCTGACTCCCTGTGACATGTCACTTTATTAGATTTGTATTCCTTTCCTCAGGCAATCTCATTGTAGCCGTTCCATCCTTGTAAATGTTTTTTTAAATCATGACAAATGAATTGAAGACATGGACACTGCCATAGAAAATGTAACAAAGGCTGAAAAGTTTCAAATAGGGCATGGAGAGAGGACTTACCTTGAGAGAACAGAAAAGAGGACCACATGGATCAGAGAATAAAAGCAAGTCGGTCAACATATTCAAGAAGAAGAAACAGAAGTGGTCTTGAGCAGAACGCAATGCTAGAGGTGACGACTGCAAATGGCTGAGACTCGTGACAGAGTGGCAGTCAAAGGAGGGAATTCTCTCAAGAGTGTGAGCGGCACAGAGATGCATTGAATCGATGAGCTCACCAGCAGGAGCGGCATTGATCGTTGCATCGCAGCACCGTGAGGGTTGCCGATAACTTGGGGAAGCCTTCATCCAGCAGCGATTGAATTATGTCTGATGATGATGATGATGTTGACATCGATAGCGTCACTGCCCAGGTGAGCAAGGTAAGTTTGATTTAGTTTAGTTAAATGTCTGTAGGTTTGCCTTGGCAAGCAAAATGTTTGCGCACTTGGTGTGCAATGGCCCTTGAGCTGGCATTGCTGGCGCAGTTTTATATTGCAAGGTTAACAGGCATAAAATCATACTGTTGCCACGATAGTGAAATCAGTAAATAAATGCAGTCTCATGTGCAAAGCCGAACACAAAAAAAACCTCAATCGCCCTGTCCACTGCCCTTCCTTTTTTCCATTTTCTCTGTCGCTGCTCAAATAAATGATTTACAGCAAAGTGGTCTCTGGTTTGTGTACGTCGTAATAAGGTCTCCTCTCCCCGCTGGAAAAGCAGCATCATTTCTTCCAGATCTGACGTCGCCCCGAATGCATATATATCTGCGCGCGAATGAACCATCTCCATCCACATCGACCTCAAGCAGGGATGGGGGGGGGGGATAAACTTACGGCTAACGGCCATACGAGAGGTAGCACTTCAAACGATATTTATTAATCGTAGCAAGCATCTCAGCTGTAATAATTGGGGTACTAGAGTTGGGGCGGGGGGTATTTTCTACCTGGCAGCACCCTGTTTTTAGCGTGCTTTCGTCACGTCTGTGAGCGCTGCGAGGGCTTCTTATTTCTCGATTAATGCACCGGTAATTGCGTTATTATAGCATAGCGCAAAAGTGTGTGTTTATTGTGTGGTCCGCCAAACGTGTCCGAATGTACATTTTTTGCCGAGTAAAGGAAAGGGTCCCATACGCCTGGCACGAAAGGCACTGGGTCAAAGGTTAAGCTCGGCAGCCTGGAGTTAGGATCAGAGGCCACAAATTTATTAACCCAAATCTGCTGCTCTGCAGTGTAAGCTGTAAACATTAGAGCGGTTGCTTTATCCCATATTACTTTGGCTCCGTGGTTATAAAAACAACTGTGCAAAGTATACAAATACATTAAGGCCGAGAGGACAAGAACACTAAATGTACACTAAAATAGTGCTGAGCTGCTGGATCTATATAAATAAAGACCTGAATCTGTAGGTGTCAACAACCTCCAGGGTACTTCCCGACAAGGTCGAAAGCTGAAATTTGGTACATGGGTAGCTTTAGGACACAAACAACAGGAACAATCTGAAAATCCGAGATTTTTTATTTTAACGCCCCCAAATCTCCATTTTAAGTGCCTCACAAACATGTTTGTGCGTGTAATTCAAAACCAGTTCAAAATATAAGATTGTGGGTTTTTTCTTTGATAGAGCATTGAACAGCAAATGAAATTAGAGCCAGAACCTTTCGGATAAAATCGGTTTTTAAGGAAAAAAATACGCATTATATGATGATCAAATCTGAATAATTCGAAAACGATAAAAAAAATAGGTGCTTCCCCTCATCGAGTATTACGTCCATTAGTTTTTATTTTTTCTTAAATTGAGCGGTTCCCGACGGGTAAATCTTTAAATATAAGAAGTTGAATCAAGTCGTCAACAAATGTCTTTCATTTTGCAGAACATTTTTTTTTGGAGTCGTTGTTAGTGTCTCGTCGTAGATGTTTTTTTTTTAAACACTATCAGGTTAATTATTATATTTATTCAATACTTTTGCCTCGCGAAGCAATGCTTTATGAACAAGTGAGACATATAATCACTTAACGCAACGCATTTCATTTATTAGGTATAGCCCTGTGAGCCATGCGGCTCTTGAATCGGGTGCAACCGCAACAAACAAAAACATGAACAAGAAACATCTTAATGTGATGACGCGCAACAGAAAAATCCAGCAAAAAACTGTCTTCCAAAAAAAGCACCGTACATCAACGCCATGTGCAAAAATCCCAGTGGGATGCAAGTCGAACAATAACAACTACAAGACAATTTAGATTAAAGTTATTAGTCTAACTCTGTACTACAACAAACAAATATGGCTAAACCAAAACGTTTTCAAAATCACCAAAATAAAGCTATAAAAACAATGTCACAGTGATCATCGGAACCGTGATTCAAATTTAACAAAAACGCGTTTGGTATGGGCCGTGGTGCAAGGCTTGAAATAACCTCAGAGCCTGCTGTACTCGTCTGGCCCATGGCCCAGGTGCAATTGCATCGCCAGCAACATGATGCAGCAACCTGCGAGTCGTGGGGTCTCTGAACGTTGTCCAGTGAACTCGTTCACATGCACGTGCGTTTGTTTGCGTTTGATTCCTAGCGGCAGGTGTTGTTACATCGGGCAAACAAAAACTGGTTTGGTGGAAAGTGGGGGTGTAAATGAAATGACACTGGTTAATGATTCCACGAAATGCTTTTGCTCATGCTTGTTAAATATTAACTCATGGATCGTTCCAGAATACCCAGCAATCAACTTGCAATGACCCAATTTCATAACGAAGTTGAACACTTTTTACAAAATAAAATAGGAAACCAATCAGACGGAAGAGCGTGTGTAGGTTGGTCACAACTAAGAGTGACAATTCACATCACAGGTAATTTTCGGACAGAAAAAAAACATGATCGGTTTATCCATCATGCCTTGCATGTCATGGGACGAGATTGGCAAATTATGTATGTAGAGTACCGTACTGATGATTTCTAACAAAGATAATTAACAGTCGACGGTCGTGTGAGCGTCATGCTGCTGTCTAACACTAAAATTGCCACAATTTTGATTATTTCGAGTCAGTGGTGTGAAACAAGGCTGTGTGCATTTCACTCAGTGTGGTGATGTGATATGACAAGCAAGGAAAGCTGGGAGGGCCGATGTTATGGTCACAATCACACTTTGCTAAATATGAAATACCTCGTAAGTTCATTATGAATTATGTTTCATGCAATGTTGAATCTATCATGTCCCACTGACGTATACAGCAGTTTGGGTTACATTGTATTCTTATTCTAACAATCACGAGTATGAACCCCTGAAACTGCTGCCATAAAATATGGCAAATAAGTACGTTTTATCACGTGGTATTTGTATTTTGGGCGTGTAAATATGTCAGTATCTTAATACATGTAAACTTTGAGGTAAATTTATCGTTTAATCTTCAATGTTATTTGTTGAAATGTTATTTTAGTATTTTGTTTTGAAATTAGCCTTTTCCATTCCCGCGTCTCGTGACGTCACCCTCCCCTCACCCCAAACTCCTCCCCCCCTCCAGCAGCCCAGAGTCTGGGCTCATCAGCCCCTCCCCTCCACCTCAGCCCAATCAGCCCCTCCCCTCCACCTCAGCCCAATCAGCCCCTCCCCTCCACCACAGCCCAATCAGCCCCTCCCCTCCCCCTCAGCCCAATCAGCCCCTCCCCTCCA